AAATCTGGTCATGAGGAAATAAGAGATTTCAGTTCCCAGGAGAAGAGGTCCATGGCAGCTCCAGAGAGGGAAGGTATGCTGGGCCAACCACCAAAGAAATCATCCTTTTCTTTGAACCTGGAATGCTTTGGGCAGTGAGTTGGGAGAAGGTATAAAGCAGATCTTAGTACGCCTACATTTGTCCAATGTATTCCTGAATGGACCACTTTACTTGAGTTCATTATTTGTTTGTTTCTTTTTTGTTTTTTGTTACTGGGAATCAAACTCACAACCACATGCTTGCAAGGCAAGTGTTTATGCCACTGAGCTAAATCCCCAGCTCTTTTAGTTCATTACTGTATTAAACCATTACATCATAATTATTTCACTTGTTTGTAAGCATTTATGGAATATCTACTTTGCAATTGGCACCTGCATGGATTTTTGGAGGAGATGGGGATATGAAGATGAATAAGACTATTACTGTTTGGAAATTCAGGAAAGGATAGAAATAGGGAATAGATATGAATACACATGCAAAACAATTATAATACCTAGATGATTAAGACTCTTAATAAAAGTATGCATGAAGTCCTATGAATAAATAGAAAAGGACTAAAGAAACAACTGGAAAAAGCTAGCTAAAGCTTCATTATAGGAATAATGCTTGGGCTAGACTTTAGGGAGTAACAAAGTGTGGCCACATACTAAAGGCAGGAAAATGTTCTAAGAAGAAAGAAGAGCATGTACAAAGATGTATGGTGAGAGCTGTGGGAGAAAATGGCACTGGAGGAATGGGAGAAGGCCAGTGATGCCCTCATATGTCATGTTAAATTGGTTTAAAGAAGAAAATAATATGATCTAAATTCTGCGCAAGCAAGATTAACTGCTGACAGTAAAGAGAACTAACTGCTGGTAGGCCAGTTTTATGACTGTGATGACAGACTAGCTGAGGAATGATCAGGACCTGAGAAAATACAATTAATTATTGAAAACAGGGGTGTAACTTGGTTTTACTGTCTTCAAAAAAAAAAAGCAATAAGACTGTGGGAGTAACAAAACCCAAAATGTGTAATTGTCATTGTACAAAAGAAAGGAAAAGAAAGTGCTCTAAAGAATATAACTGCATATATATTTAAGTGTGTAAGATAGATAACCATATTACTGAGTTTTGTTGGATCACTGAACAAAACTGTTTCCAGTCTCACTGTTTGAAAGTCTACTTTATATGCTTTAATTTTGTAACTTGAACAACTATTTCTAAGATACCAATATGTAATCTATTAACTAGTGATTTCCTATTGTTTATTTTTTCTGAAATTCTGTATAACTTGTACACTTTTTCTGTTTTTTTTTTCTTTTTCTCCTTAAATAAAAAAAAAAAAAAGAAAATAGGGGTGTAGGGAAGCAGGAGATGTTTAGAAAACAGACAACAGAATTTGGTGCCAAAGTGAATGGGAAAGATGAAAAACAGAAAGGACACAGAAACAGATGAAATTAGTTCAATTCATGAACTGAATTAAGACAGAAAATACAGGGGAATGGAGAAGACTTTACTTTCAAGACAGGGAAAACTAACGAATTTGGGGACGTAACATTGGATCTCAGGAGAGAGATAAGTACTCAAAGCTTCGGATGCTATTTTGGATATTGTAGTGATTAAAAGTTATGAAAATGAATAATATTTCCTGAAAATTTATATAGAGGTAATCTTTGGAGCAATCATTACTTAGGGAATAGTTAGTATCCATAATACTTTAAAGAAGTGGACTAGAAATGAAGAAGCAGTAGAAAGAAAAGAATCTAAGGAAAGGCTCTAAGAAGGAAGGGTGAACAGTATTAAATGATAAAATACAAACAATACATATTATAAAAGTTGACTGCATTTGTCAATGGTGTACATGCTAACCTTAGTAAGCACTAAAATAGTTACTGTGCCATCATATGGTTATATCTTAGCATTTCTGTATCCCCAGACCTCAGAACATAAGCTTTCTACCTCTCTATTTTCAAAACAACATTCATAAAGTACTCCATAGGTAAGAACTATCATAAATGTTTAGGACATGTTTCCTAAGTTCAGTGGAGAAAAAGCACATAAATAAAATGTAAATATATATGGATATGTAAATATTATAGTATAATAACTATCTTTGGATATGGCAACAGGCTCTTACGTTTCAACAAAATGAGCATGCTGTTGACTGGAAGTTTCTAACAAATTTTTTTTTTAAACCAAAATTCACTGATAATACACAGAAAGGAACTGTGCTACTTTCTAGGAAAATGGGAAGACTAAAGGGAAAATGCAGTTGAACTGTTCTTGCTATAATCATACTAAAAACATAGCCTATACAAGGCTTAGAATAGTAACTGACACTGCACTGGGTGATTCACATGTTACTAAACTACTCCACACAAGAACCCTGTCTCTGAAGTTAGTACCACCATCCCAGTTTATCTGCAAAAATTTTCCTCACAAAGGCTAAGTAACTTGACCAAAATATCACAGGTAATAAGTAGGGAAGCAGGCATTCAAACCAGCACTTTCTCAGTTGATCACATAGCCTGTTTTCTGCTCTCTATTCTGCACTGATTCTCATAGGTTCTCATGGGGCAGAAGGCAAAAGGCTCCAAGCAGAGAGACTGATGTAGGCAAAGGCATTAGTCATGAAGAGGCAGAGTCCTTCTGAGGATTAAGATAGTGCGGTGTTGTGAGAGACAACAAGAGGATGTGTAACATACATTGTTCTTTTGCATGTATTATTTCATCTTATTCTCATAAACACATCACAAGGCAAGAGTATCTTTGTACACATTAGCGTGAGGTTTTATGATAAAATATCCAGTTCACATCTACATATTGTGAATCCAAGGCCTGAGCTTTTAAAAAACTGTGTTATATTACTGAAGACATGGAAGCATATTTCTTTATTTCTACCATGATCAAAAAAATTTTGTTAAGAATAAGCCACTTAATAGTTAAAAAAATCACTGGTGATTTTGAAAATAAAATAAAAACTTCAGCATAAGAACCAGCCACAGAAAAATAAGTAGCAGAGGAATGAATGGAAATTGAAAAATTAGAGATAGTGACTATAAATCAGTTATTAAACAAATTTGGCTGCAAAGGAAAGAGGTAAGCCAAATCTCTTTAGTTTTAATTTCAAAATGCTTGGAATACTGATATATTTTCAAAAGACTTCTATGCTCACTAATAACAGTAATTTTAGGCTGTAGAGGGAAAAGGAATATCATCTTGCACAGTATCACTAGTTGGTTTCTCTTCAAGGATAACCTTCATCTTAAATCAAGTAAAACAAACTGATGTCCGCATTAATTGCAGTGAAGATATACTCTGCCTAAATGATGGTAATTTAAAATGAAATATAATGAATTGAACTTGAAAAGAAAATCTTGCCCATATTTCATTTAGATCTTGTTGGAAATCATAATAAGAGATTTAACATTTAAATTTTACACTTAATTCTTACAAATAACATAACTGTTGTACATAAACCTGATCCATAGATTGACTGCCATTTCATTAAAAAGTTTTTATGTGTCTTGGATAAAATGTGCAAAATAAGGATGATACATAAAGTTTGTCCAGTAGTTACAATATTAAAGTTAAAGCATTATCCAAGGTGACATTTATTCTATTTTTTGGTATACAAAAGTTCTTTGTTTACAAAATGATGATAGCTGATGAGAACTAAAAATGAAAAAAAAATGCAAAAGTTGACAGTATTTCTGTTTTTTGAAAACCAAACTGATGTTTGGAAACTACTGTCTTAAAGAACTTTAGTTGTGTATAGAAATTAAAGGATTATACATAAATAAAACTTTGTAATTATTTGTAGATTTTGAGTAAACAGAACTAAATCAGGTCCTGACTGTCAAAAGTTACTAATTGTGATTTACAATGAATGGCTCTTAGACTGTTAAAGTACTTCCTGAATATCTAGATAGCTTCTGATTGAACATAAACCTAATCGTTAAACCTAAAAATGTATTCTATTTATATAGGTCAAAAGTTTAAAGGTACATTGGTAGTAGAGATTAATATACAAAATCAATAAACTGTTTAAAAATGGTTTGAATTGCAGCTTCGTCTGACTTTGGAGTAATTTAAATATAATTTCAGAGATGCTGAAGAAATGATTGAGAGAATTTATTTTCAATGAGAAGCAGCAGGAAATAAACGCTGAAGTGTGCACTCTTTTATACTACAAAACTGAAAAAAAAGATTATGGAGAATGGTATGTATTAGAGATTCAAGGTGGTTTTGTGGATACCATAGTGCTGTTAACAACATATAAAGAAGGTTAAAGTGACAAGTTCTATTATATTAAAATTTCCTCAGAAAATTCAGCTACAGTGTTCAAATTCCATCAATTAATAAGTGACACCTTTGCCTGGTAGGCTGTTAACATTCTGCTTGCTGGCATAAAGAGTGACTGATTATGCAGCTTTATTTAAATTTTAATAAAAATGCAAAGATCACTCAAAATAAACAAATATAATTATGCACTGTGAAAAGCTGTATTGAATACTTCAGAAGAACAACACATGAAAATTAATTTCACTGTACCGGATTCTATGCATTTAGAGGTCTCAGATTACAAGGTCATAGTTGATTTCAGCAGGATTATCATGAAGCTAAATGAGGACAGGTAGTAACTTGACTGTCTTTTCCTCTTGCAAATAACTTTGCCTATTAATATGAGTTTGTGGAAGGATTTAAATAGTTTGGCCTATATAAGCTAATGAAGATCAGCTATTAAATAAAAAGTCTATCCTAAGTAGTAATAATTATCCCCAAGGAAAAAATCCATGTTTTGACCCCAAACATGGATTATGATTTGTAACCTAAAAAAGCTCATTTGGTTTAATCTATCTTTGCTTTAAACCATTTACAGGAAAAATGATACTGCATATATACTGTTTAGTTCTCAAAAGGAAAGGAGGTTTGTGTTTTGTTTTGTGTTTTTAAAGTGATTCAAGATCATTTTACTTACTTCTGAACTTTTTCATTGGCCACCTGGGAGGCCTCCCTGGCACGCTGAAGCTGTAATTCCATGTTTGCTCGCTCTGTCTGAGCTCGCTGCAGTTGGGCAGTCAGTTCCTCATTCTGTTGTTGAGTGATGGAAACAATGTTCTCTCTGTTTTTCAAAGCTTCTTCATAGGTACTAAGGGTATGGTTAAACTGATCCTTCAAGTTTTCTTCTTGAGATAAAGATTTATGTAAACTGAGAAAATACAAAAGACATTTAAATATAAATAAGGTAGGCTAATCCATCAATGATCCATTTTTCTATAATCCATTTAATAAAAATCTCCATATAGAAATCCCCACTTCTAAAAATCAGTACAGATGCTTAAATGGGTAAATGACAATAGCATTTATGCCACAATACTGTAATTGATAATTATACCATAATTCGGCTTGTAGGCTTAAAGCTACCCAGACAAATCATTATGCTATCACAGCACACAGAAAGATACTGCAAGATGTTAATTTAATTATATCAGTGTAAATATTACATTCAATTTTCTTTAAAGGAATAGCAGAGAATTGGAAAATAGAGTATATATAGGTAAATAAAACAATATAATAAGCCAACTGCAAAGAAGTGGGAAATAAGAGAATAAGCATCAGTTTAGGAGATCTAGGGTCCATTCTGCTAAGCATTTAATGAGAATGAATGAGGTTTCTGCAAATACCAACCAGTCTTACACACAGAATTTTCCACTTGTCACAGTTGAGATATAAATGAAGTTAAAATCACTAGTCAGGTTGCAGAGAAATAATATGTATTCAGATATATATTTATGGTTAATGAATCTTATTCCAAATATATCTACTTATTAAGTTATACAGAGAAATAGCATATAAATTAAGACTAAATGAATGCAGAAGAAAATGCAGATAAATAAAATCCTAAAATGCTAAAGGTCAAATCTTTGATATGTCATTACACCTACCACCTGAGGTTATTTTGAAATGGCACCAAGCACCTCACTCAATTAAATAAAGACATTTTGAAAATATAAATATTTAATAAGGGAAATTTAAAATCCACATAGGAGATGTTCTTTTTTATTAAATAAAATCATTTCGGAATATGCATACAAAGGAAATGGGGATTGGAGACTTAAAGTACAGCAACCTACATATATAATACAGATTGATCATGTGAAAGAAAGTAATATATTTCTCAGTGATGTAAAGAGCTAGTCAAAAAACTTTAGTTGGACTGAATACCTAGGCTGTTATTTTACTTAAAGCTGATAAAATTATAAATTTTTCTTTTAAAGTTACCTATAAACCTCTACAGTGTTTTCACTTTAGAGTAGTTGTCACATAGAAATAACATACATAGGAAGCAAGGACAGTTGATAAATCAAGCAGAATCATTTCGAAATTCAATTTAGTCCCTAAGCATACAGAATGTTGCTAAAATCTGGTGAGGTGTTTACTATATATAAAATTAGAGTGATGTGTAGATGGGACATCTGACTGGACCTTTTGCTCTTAAAAGTCTTAAAATGCTACTTGTTCAGGATGCTTTGGGACTCTTTCAATTTCCATCAAGATGTCCTCTAATCAGAGCTGCAACTGAAGTGGACTTTTCAGACAGAAAGTCGACAATGTCATTTAAAATCCCACAACAGTATCTCATTGGACTAAAAAGTCTCTAAAAATAAAAAATGACATTTTAAGTAACTACACCTGAGAACAACTTGCTTCAGAAGTTTAATTATTGTTTTATTGATAAGGAAATTCAAACACAGAGGCAAGAAATTTAATAAACCCATCCCTTCAGCAGAGCCAGTATGTAAATGCGGTCTTGTTTTCTGAGCTTGGTCACTCCTGTACAGTTGGTTCTGGACTGGAGGTATGCATGACATGGCCTATCTACCCGCTCACTTTTCAGCCAAGGATCAGTTTCTCAAGGATGCCAACCTTTTTTCCTGATGAAGTCAACTGTTTGGGTTGCTCTTCCCTTGATTTGACCTGACAAACTCCTACTCATCCAGTAAGTCACATCATAAATACCTCTTGCTTAGAAAACTTTGTGTCTCTTTATAACTAAATTTTGAAGCTTTGTCTTAATGTCAGTATCTATTATTTTTTATTCCTTAGAACTTACAATAATTGGCAACTTGTTTGCAATTTCATTTTGGGATTTAGTTCCCACTGCCAAAATATTAATACTCCATTTTTATCATTCAACTTTATTTTATGAGGACATATTTCCTTAAGAGCTTGAACAGATAAAAATACAGTTCTTAGGGAAGCTTCCTACTGGAATAAAATTGAAGTAGGGAATGCATGAATCTATAACCACGCAAGCCCACTTTTGTCCTTAGTGCTGTTTTCACTCTGAGAGTACTTTCTTCCCTACTTGACACTTATAGCCCAACATTAAGCTTTCTTCAGAAGTCTTATCACATTTAACCCACTTCCAAAGTCACTTATCTTTGGACACATTATTTGGCATACCATCAGCATTGCAACTTAATGGCACTTAAATTATATGCGAATGTTTTAAATTACAATAAATGTAAGTGATAAAATAATAGGAGAATCACTGAATCACTCTTAGAAGTTCAAACATGTAATTATGTGGCTTACACAGTATACTTGTAGGATGGTAACAATTTCTTTTTTTTTTTGTCTTTTTCCTTTTTATCGGTACCGGGGATCAAACTCAGGACTGCCTGCTTGCAAGGCAGGCGCTTATGCTGCTGAGCTAAATCAACCCTGGATGGTAACAATTTCTAATTACTAGGAGGCAGTACAATATTTTTCTTTAGTAATATTTCACATTATTGTAATTACAATTCATACCAAGTAAGACTGTATATTATTCCCCTATGCTATGCAGCTCATCACATGAGTTTCAATAGAAGATCAATGCAAAAAAAATGCCTTTCCATGGCGATTAGGCTACTTCAATAAGTAGTATGTAATACTTTTTTTTTTCTGTACTGGGATTGAACTAAGGGCCTTAACATTGAGCTACATTCCCACTGTTTTCATTTTCTAATTTTGAGACAAGACTTTGCTAAGAACCTTAAAATGCCCAGGTTAGGTTTGAACTTGTGATCCTCTTGCCTGAGCCTCTTAAACAGTGTTTAGATTATAGGCACTGTGCCACATTCCTGGCTAAAATTTCCTTTCTGAAGTGGGTTTTTTCAGTTTCAATGTCTACTATTCTGTTGTCTCATGTTTGTGGCCCTATCATCCTAGTCCCTGACTAACTAGAACCTGTCCAAATGATGACCCACTTATATATTTCACTTGCAGATATTTAAGATCTCCTGAACTTGTCTGCTTTCTCATTTGTGGAACTCTCTGTCTCTCAACTTTAATGTCACACATGGATTAAGCTTATTCTTCCAACTGGTACTTTTCCATTTATATCAAGTTTTTTTTTTATACTTTACCAGGTATTACTCAATACCTCACATTAGATCATTTGATTCACCATCTATCTATGCACTTATTCTTTTCTATGTGCTTCATTTATTTTACGGTTACTTAATCAACTGTGTTCTATATATAAGTTGTTTAATTGAATGAATTAGTTTTAGATTGGAATTTAGAGGAGAGGTACCATAATATAAATAGTTCTTAACTTGGGGTATTTGCATCCCTTAGAGGATATTATGAAATGTCCAGAGACATTATTGGTTGTCATAACCAAAGAGATGCTACTGTCATTTAGTTGAATGAGAACATAAATTCCACTAAATGTCCTTTAATGCAGAGTACAGACTCACAACAAAGAATTATACAGCCAATATATCAGTGATGTCGCTATACTTGGAATAGATGAAGATCCTTGGACTTAGAAGATGTAGACCCTAATTTGAGTCTCATCATTTACTGTGACTCTTTTGAAAGAATACTTTATCCCCTGAATGCTAATTTCCTCAACTCTAAAACAGTTACAAAAAAAAATCTTATGAGTTCGTATGAGAATGAAATGAGGTAACCTACATATGTGAAAATATCTGACACAGTATGTGGTAAGAACAGGCATTCATACTTGTTTAATTTTTAAAAGAAATTATTTACATCTAATTAATTCTGTACAATATCTTATACATCACTCAGACATTTTGTAAATAATTCGCTGAAAAATAGTAGCCTGTTTCTACAGGTTTTTCATGAATTGGGTAAAATAAACCAGTTTTCTTAACCTTTATTCACTGACTGATAACATTCTTAAATCACTCATTTAAAAAAGGCAGGTTTAGCTTGTTTTACTGAATTAAAATAAATAAAACCAAAGCAAGTAGGAAAGGTGAAAGTATGTGCAATCTTTCTGAGAGGACAGTGTCTGCTTTTACTTCCTGGTTTACTGCATCAATTAATCTGCCAGGCCTTTCAAGCAAATATTACTTGACCTTCTCACATAATTTTGAGGAAATTAGCTTATGTCTAATTCTGACCGATGCTTAGATAGTAGAAAATATATTCAGAATGGTTAAGAGGGTAAATGAGGATGTTTAAGCAGTAACTCAGTTTAGTATGCCCACTGATTTGCTTCTTCTTTTGCTGCAGTCAATTCAGTTTAAAAAAAATAACATATTAAAATCATTTACCACGAATAATAATTCTTATAAAGAATAACAATTTGTTATAAGGAATATTATACCATACTAAACTTTTTTACTGATTTTAAGGTAGATATACTAGTGAACTTAATATTTACTGAAAGACTTAACAGATCCTATATTTTATGGTATAAACAAGTGGTTGTTAAATATTTGTTGAGTTTACCAACTAGAAAACAAAGGTATCAATCTACACAACAATTTCTAAAGAATAATTTCAAAATATTTAACTATTAAATGACCAATAGCACTTGAAACTGGTATCAGGCCACTTTCTCATTATGCAAGAGTAGATTACATGCTTCATGAAATTGGTGACCTGGGAAGCACAGCAGCAGAATTATGTTCACAAAGTCACTTATATTTACTACTGCTTAGATGACAAGGAATAAATCATATTAAAATTATAACATGTAAGTATGATTTTATGGCTATTTTAAAACTATGGAACAGGAGACATGACTGGAAATAAAATGAAAATAATGCTTTTTAATATAATTGAAAGGAGACTTTTGAGAAGACGGAAGAAAAAGGGGATGTAATGAAACATGAAAATTTCAGAAGTGAAAATTATAATAACTAATGTGAACAGCCTGGTGGGTGGGTTCAATAACAAAAC